GGCAACAAAACAATGAAAATAATTACACCAGATGTTTAACATACTGGCCATTATTAGTGAAACACACTTCAAGACAGTTTAGTTTAGGCAACGTGTTGCCATTGATGATTATTATTATTGTACTGGTAGCTACTTCCACTTTACTTTTATTTTTTAATTAAGTACTTACTTTTGACCTTTGTGACCTGAGCAGCCAGTTTGTTGGTAGGTAGCATAAACTAACCCTTCCTTCGAAACATACGTTGTCGAGAAAAATCCTTTAAGGAAGTTTATTGGAGAATTTGTAAATAACGGTGAGCAGTTAAAGATCCATCGAAGATTACCGGTCCAATTACATGACTTCCCATTATGCCATAAAATACATTACCTAATTTTAAAAAAATATTACTTGATTTTGGTGTGAAACTACAACATGTAGGTTTTCCTGTGACGAGTAGTGTTCATAATGTCGATTTGAACACTTCGCAGTTAGAAGAATAAGATTCATCTGTCCATATACTCGGACTGGTAAAACTGTTAGTTTCGATATTCTTGCGGATAAACCACCTACAAAATGTGACCTGGGACAATGCATCAATGGTAATACATTGTGTAAAATAAAGCGAAGTGTCTTGAAATGTCTTTAACTGGATAATGGCATGACTTTTTTCGAGGGGATAGTTTGTAGTTATACCACCATTTGTAGGTATGTAAGTATGGATAATAAGTCAATAAGTGATGTTATAAAAATCAAATTTTTCTAGACCTAATGCTTATATAAAATGTTGGAGGGAGTTGTAATGCCCAAACCCCCCCTCACATGAGTGCGTCCCTGATTTTTTTAATAAACATCTGATGTAATTATTTTCATTGTTTTGTTGCCTCGAATAGATTTTGTTTTGTTTTTTTTTAATTCATCACAGCCTACTTCATTAAAATATAAAAACCGTTGATATAACTGGTATCTTATTTTCAATCTTATGTTATGATGGCTTGTTGAAAAGAGAATTAAAAAATCTATCAAGTAATCTAAAAATCCCATATGGCGCCTATTTAACTTCAGGAAGTTGGTAAATGTTCCTCAAAAGTAGCCATCTTGAATTTTTTTTGACATCAAACCTAAATTAAAAGTATCAAAGGCAGTAACTTTTATATAAAACTTTTTTTTATATCTCTTATACTTTCGATGATATACATTCAAGGAAATGACCAATTTTAGTTTTTTTCAATTTACGTCGAACTTATGCGACATTTTGAATTTCCAAAAGGAAATTTTAAATAAGCATCTAAAACTGCAAAACATTGCCCATTTAACCAATTCTCTATCCTTAATAATAACAAAGTTACCAATGCAATCCCACCCGATCTGGGACACACTGTATATACAGGGTGAGTTTTTTTTTTCATTTTAAGCATTGGGATCTCGGAAACCATAAGACATACGAATTCGGTTAAATGAGGAAAGAGTTGTCGTTTTAAGAGCTTATTTAAGATATGCTTTTGTTTTTTTAAAAAAATTCACAGTTCACTAGATATGAGCGAAAAACAGATTTAGTGATTTTTCATTTAACTGTTGTAGAATCGTTATTATTAGAAATACAACAAAATGACACGAATAAAAGTTTTAAACATTTTAATGCTTAACATGATGAACATACTAATTTAGTTTTACATCTTACAATTTTTGTGTTATAATACAAACTTTAATTTTTTTAAATTGTAGTCATAGTTGGCTTTGACATTTTTAAAAAGGACAAATTTTTCTCTATATAACGATATAAGGCTTGCTAAATGTACTTCAATAAATAAACGCCCTGCAGTAATTTTCGTATTATTGAGAGGTAAGTAAACAGAGTTGGCCATGGAAAACAATATCTAGTGAGATAGGTACCTTTCATTTACGAGGAAAATTGGACAGGCCAATTTTATCTTCATTTTCTACCAAATGAATTTCAAGATATGTAGGATGGGTTAGATTTGGAAACACGACGATATTTACGCTGGTTTCAACACAACGGTGCCCCGCCGCACAACTAACTGCAAGTTAAATATTATAATAGACATTAATTAAGAGAACAAAAATGTTTCCCATGGCAAAACCTGTTTTTACTGTTCTTAATAATACAAACAGTTCTGTATTATCTTTATTTGTCAAAGTAAGTACAATGAGCCTTATATCATTGTAAACAGAAAAAAATGCACTTTTTAAAAATGTCACAGCCAACTATGGTTGCCATTTAAAAAAATTTAAGTTTGCGTTATAACTCGAAAATTATAAAAGAAGAATAAATATTAATAAATGTATCTGATTAAGAGGAAAAAAATCTACAATTTTTGTCCTTTGCATATTTCTGTATTTCTAATACTAACGATTCTGCAACAGTTAAATGAAAAGTCACTAAATCTGTTTTTCGCTCATATCTAGTGAACTGTGGATTTTTTTCAAAAAACAAAGAATAAGTTCTTAAAACGACAACTCTTTCCTCATTTAACCGAATCTCTATGTCTTACGGTTTCCGAGATCCTAATGCTTAAAATGAAAAAAAAAACTCACCCTGTATATATATATATATATATATATATTATATTATATATATATATATATATATACCAAACCAAATGCTTTAGCAAGATCTAAGAAATAAGAATACTGCTGGACATTACTCAGAGTTATCTCAAGAGGTACGTTATAATTTTTTTAACAAGGTCAGTCGGTGCATCTTCAAATGATGTATTTTTCATAAATCCGTATTGTGATTCTGTAAGAAAACAAATCTTTGTAAGAAAGAAAGTGATTGGACACCACGGAAAAGTTATTGTTACAGAAGATATGTTATCTTTGTAAGTTCCCGAGCTACCGACACGAGAAGCTAATGATTCGGGAACGGATACGAAGTATGTAGTCATCAAAAAGCTCCACTATTTCACTCATGTTCACTTTGTATCCATTCTCGTCAACTATTTATTTTATAGGGTGTTTTGATTTGTATAGATTAGCTGCCTTTTTAGTCTCTTCTCATAGTTCAGTTATATTTTGAGTATGAATATAAACATTATTTTGAAAATACTTCATTTTTTGAAATTTTTTTATTAAATTACTTTATTTCTTTGTGTTTGCCGAGACAGGTATGTTCAAATAGGTATTTTTTAAGAAGACTTTGAATAAGTCTTGTTTTATCAGAATTTCTTGTAATAATTCATCTATTTATTGCCCATTCTTTCTTCTTTTTAATTTTTGTGTTTCTAATGATAGTAGTAGAAACAAACATTGTTTTACAGGCGTTTATGAAATGAACGTACATAAAATTTTATGTACGTTTATTTCAGCTAATGTCTGATGATTCACCTTACCTTCGACTTCGAACTTGTAATTCCTTTGCCTTTCCTTCTAAATTTCCGAGTGGAAGTTTTGCCGAAAATCCTTCCATTTTGAACCATCATTAATATTTTCGAGTAACTTTTGCCCAAAATTTGATTGTTATCCTTTAAATATGATATTAATCCAGGCACGATACAATGACCACGAGGCGAAAAATTATTTTCCATCTCATTGTCAGCTTTAAGTCTTTATTGAAAGTGCTCGCGGAATAATCGCCTTAAAACCTCTCATAGGAAATGAGATTGCTTTGGGAAAAGTTTCATTGGCGAGCATATTACGAAATATTTTCTTATGCTAAATACCTAATACATATGCAAATTTATTAAAGTACCTACAAGAACAATTTAGTTCTAAAAGGGTAGGTAGTTGTTGAACGTTTTAACGACCTATCGAAATGTCTATGACCATAACCAACAGTACAAATTTCATGTTACCTTTCTGATTACTTTTCAACTTCACGCAAGGCTTTTGATGAAAATTTCAGCGTGAAAATTGATATTCTGGAACGTTTTTCTCCACATTTATTTTTTTAAAAGGGCGGTTACTAATTCTGAATTTCGATTGCTTTATACGATTTTTTAAATAAATTGTTTTGTGTATAGCTTTCTCGTTTAATTGCGAAGCAATTTACCGAACTTGGCGGTACTATAGTTAATATTCATACGAATTAATTACCTCTGTGACAGTGACGCCATGAGAATTTGATGTAATAAGTACGTTACAGCAATATCAAAATGACATACATTTATAAATTCAATGGTTAAACTTTGGATAATACTCTTCCAAAGAATTTTAGTTAGGATTTAATTGGTAAAAAAACAAAAAAGTCACGAAGTCGTTACATTCTCGAAAGTATCACGAGAGCTTTACTTTTTAATAAAAAAAAAACATTTCATAAAATGCAATTAAAAGCGTAGATATCTCTATTGAGTTAATTTGATTTTCCCTCTTCATAAATTAAAGGTACTTTACCGTGCAAAATCTACTAACAAATTCCTTTGTATTATTATATGAACCCAAGTAGTTTTATTATTTAGCTACCTACGGAACGAACAAAGCCCCTTTTTCCAGTTTGGCGAATACATGTGATGTAAAAGCATCCCTACATTTCAAATATTAATTAATTTAATACTTTTTCTTTGCGTTTTCACCTATGTTAACTGTCATTGCACATAATAGACAGAAACTACAGCATGAAATTTACAAATAGAAGAAATTGTCACGTACAAAAGATAGGTAAAAGTAGTAAAAACCTAAGATAATATTATTCCGTCTTTTATGTTTATTTACAAAACATTTTAATAACGTTTTGAAATCCTCTTTGTGATATGATCGCAATTCACAAAAGCTTATTTTTTCCATTGAAAAGAGCTGAACAAAAAGGAATTTGATTATGTTTGCCAGGCATATGTCAAAGTTTCAAGTTTCATTTAAATAACAGCGTGATATTATACTACACATAGAAGTAGGACGAATATTTCTTACTTTAGAGTATGATCTTCAGTTTACTAATTAATTTAGCGTCATCTTTTGATCATGTCTCGGTTTGTAATGTCCCATTTAGAATTTTTAATGAGTAAGCCGAAAGATTTTCTTTTAGTAAAATTTCTACAGCAAATACTATAAATGATGTTTTTTACAGCATGCTGGGTTCGTTCTCCGGATGGGAAGTTCGACATTACCTTGATGATTCCTAGAATGTGCGTCACTCTGCTTTTCTCTCGAAGAGTCTTGGAACACCGTACCTAAGCTGTGGCGGAACGACGCCGTACCAACAAAAAATGCGATTTTTGTTAGTGCAAATATTTTACTACGTGCTTGTCACTGAATATATTCAAGGTAAGTATTGCACATAGAAATTTAACGCGGAATTAGTCCATTTGGGTGGCTACCCCTACTAACACAATTGGAAAACCTGTTAATATGTTATTCTGTACTGACATTGTATACAGGGTGGCCATTTGAAAACGAAACAGAGCCTATTTTGGGGACCTCAAAACATTTACGAAAAAATCCTCGGACCCGTCAATTTTTGATTCAAGGGGGAACCATTTTTTTGCTAGCTTCGCCCCCCTGGTGCCAAATCCATAGCGGGGGTGGCAAGCGCCCCCAAAATTTTAAATCGAATGGGGAGTCGAGTGATACCTTATTTGGAAGGTATTTTTATGTGGTAACCCTTAAGTTTTAAATCAAGTAAATGTTGAAAATGTTGACCTTCGACTTCCATAGAATAATACAGGTTTTGTTCAAACATTTTCCGTACATTTTGAAAAACTTATGGGGTAATTTGACGACATTCGTCAATTATTTTTTGTCGCAAGTTGTCTAACGATGTTGGCTGACTAGCATAAATTTTAGTTTTTAAATGGCCCCATAAGAAAAATCTAACGCACTTAAGTCCGGGGAACGAGGATGCCATTCAATAGCACCTTTTCTTCCAATCCATTGTCCTGGAAACGTTTGGTCCAAATATTGACGAACCCTTGCAGCATAGTGGGGTGGCACACCATCTTGCTGAAATACTAGACTATTTCCAAGTAGGTAGTCGTTGTTATTTTCTAGTATCTCCACTAATGCTGGACGAATCGTCTTTTCTAATAACTCCAGGTACATCTCTCCTGTTAAAGTTCCAGGTAAAAAGAAGGAGCCTACGATACGGTTACCAAAAATGGCAGCCCAAACATACGATGGACCTGTCGATTCTGGTGTTGTCGATTAAAGAGCTGGGCAGTTCTATTAGCATTTTCATTGTTTGCAAAAAAAGATAAATTATTTCAGCAAGTGAATAAACCATTATTTATTATCCCTCTCTCGTTCTGACAACAGTAATTCACAATCACTATTAAACTTCAAAATGATGCTATAGTAATGCTCTCAACAATAACCAAGATTTGCGTTGCAGAAAAGGCATATGTACTTACGAGTATTAAAAAGAAACAAAAACAACAACAAAAAGTACGGCTCAAAATGTAGGAGAACAACATTTTTTGTATTTACTGTTGTTTTTATTTTTGTTATTTAACTAATTCATTTACACGAATATTTTTTCCTAAGAAAATGTTGACACATTTATTAGCCCCTGTATCGGCTAGGCAAATTAGTAGCGATTTAAAACTTAAGGGTTATAATCCACATAAAAATACCTTCAAAATCAGGTATCACTCGACCACCCATTCGATTTAAAAGTTTTTTTTAGAATCCGTGAGGTAGGGTGCATTTGGGGGGGGGGTTACGGTGAATACTGGATCTTAAAGAGAAATTCCTCACTTAATTAGTAGACGTCATATGAGAAAAAGCGTTGATTATTTTAATAAACAAGGGAGGAAGGGGGATTAATTTGTAAGTGCAGGCGTTGCCAGTGTGCCCAATCATCATATAACCAAATGGTGATAGCGGACACTTTTTCTTAAAGCGGAAATTAAAGAATACGAATTTTATCGATTATTTAACCGCATTTGTTTTAGAACAAATGAACAAAAGAGCATCAGAAAGCAAATTTTTTTAAATAGAACGACCACTCTTTCTGTAATATTCTTAAATAGCTTAAAATTCTCTTCACAAATGATATCAAATAATATGTTATAATTACCTTAGAAATTAAAGCTACAGCAATGTGTTTAGAACCAATCGCAGTAGCTGCGTAAATTTAAACAAAAACATAAAATTTACAACAGGAAGCGAAGAAAACAAATGAAAAGCAGTTAGACGAATAATTATTATATCTACCTTAAAACAAATTTAAACACATTACACTTACTTCCTATTACACATTACATTACACCACTTAACAGATCATTTGTGTAATTATTATTTTGTTACATAAATTATATTGTTCACTAAATTGACTTTGTGACAGACATGACAAGTGGAAAACTCTCTTTTGTTTTTGTTTAAATTTCCACAGTTACTGCGATCAGTTTTAAAAACATTACTGCAGCTTTAATTGCTAAGGTATCATTATAACGTATTTGATATCATTGTAAAGAGAATTTCAAGCTCTTTAAGAATATCACAGAAAAAGTTCTATTTAAAAAAATTCATTTGTTTGCTGATGCTCTTTTGTTTTTATATCGCTTGTTTTTTTTAAATATGTAGCCTTATCACAAATTGACATCAATCACACTGTAGAGAGCAGGACAATTAGAAAGTCGAGTTTATCAACCGACAGTTTCCTACAGGCATTCAGAAAATTCATTAGTAGAAGACCACGAATTGTGCACAGTGGAACCGACAACGCTTTTAAAGCAATTAATTGGAAGAAAGTTCAATAATATCCAATCTATCACTTGGAAATCCTCGTACTGGAGCATGGTAGGGATGCGAATGTCTTATGATCTCAAAAGCTTTGATATATGTGTCTGAAAATGTGTAAAAAATAATACCACACCGAATACGTTTTTGAAAGATATAAGATAATTAAAAACTAATCTAAAAAACGTTTAACTTACTTAACTCCCTAACAAACACCCTGTATAATTCCAATTCTTGATCTTTTAATGACTGACTTAAAAAATCGTTTTAGTGAAAAAAAATTATCAAATTTAAACTTAAATGATACAGATAACCCGTCGTTAGCACAACTTTTGGGTGAAGTGCAGCTATACACTGTGTCCCAGATGAGATGGGGGTTTCAGAAACCATACAAGATGGTCAAATTAGAGGCAAGAAATTTGTTGATTTCGTTTTTATTCTGTTCTGATGTTATTTGGGCAGATACAAAAAAACCATTATTGTAAATTATTGAGTTTTACAAGAGACGTTGAGACATTTCATTTCGTTTCATTTTTATATGGCCCGTAAAAAGAGTTGATACTATTTTTTCCTACGAATAATACGATGTACGGCACACAAAAGAAAACAAAAACTGTTGGTTTCAACAAGATGGTGTACCTACGCATAATGCCCCAAATCGTGTAAGAATACCTATATTGGACAAATTTCGTGGAAAGTGGAAAAAATTGATTTGCGCCCACAAAAAGAAAGCTCGACTTTACCATTTAGTAATTAGTTATTTGTTCAATATATTATGTATTATGCCAAAAATGTTATATCTTTATATGTATAATAAATATATTTTTTAAATAATTTTCTTTAAAAATTATATGCGCCTCTCCCTAGACCAAATCCTAAATCCGCCTCTGAACAATTCGTACTGTGATGAATCAAACCGTTCAGAATGATGAGGCTAAGGAAGAACCAGAGAGAAAATGCATTTCTAATGAAATCAATGAGCAAGCTGAAAAGGAATACGTTTCAACTACAGGAAGTGGAAGGAAAGTTATCAAGCCAAAGAGATTCCAGTAATAACGACATTTTTTATAACTCGATGAAGACACAATCGCTTTAACCATCAGTTTAGTTGGTCAAGTTTGTCAATAAAAAATTACAACAGAATTTATTCCATAGTCTCTAGAAAACACAGTTATTGGTTTATCCCCTATTTGGTGCACTTACTCAAAAATGCAACTGTAATTAACAATGCCATCGCGGGCTGTACGTGTTAGAAGCAGCTACACATCAAGGAAATGATTCGTATCCATTTGTTTGCAGAACAAGAGATGTATAAACTTTATTCTTTGCACCCAACAACTAATTAGTATGAACGAGTGTGTTTCCCACATGCACGACTTGTCTTTAACAGCGGCAATTACACGAAATGGGTTAAGTTTGAATGCCTCGGAAGGAATTTACTATTCAAGATTCACGCTCCTCTCGCAAGAGTTCCAGAAATGCTTTTGCGGGCAGTTTACAGAAATACTTTCGGTACGCACAAGATATTCGGTTATAGTAACTAACGGGGTGGGAATCGGGATTTTTCCGTCCCTATTAACCTAAAGGAGAAAAATTAGTAAAATTATATTTTTACACAACTCGCCTCGGGAAAATCTAATTTTCGGGCTGATTCAGTTACTCTGACGTTCGCGATATTTTTTCTACGAAAACGAAATGAAATACCTTTTTTTTCTATTCGCGAGATCTTATTAGGGTGCTGGTTGTGGAAAAAATATATTTACCTCCTCTGACGTGTGACGAATGGTATTATCACAGAGTTCGTTTGCTTCGTAAGGAAGAAAAGTCACATTCTTGTTTCGGGTCAATAATTAATAATGCAATAAACTGATTTTGTATTCCTCTTACTTAAGTTTCGCTTGAGCTGTTGTTAAAACTAAGTATGGCGACGCTTTTCAGTGAAATTAAAAAGAGTAAGGCCTTTTGTATAAAAAACGCTTTTATAAAATACAGTTAACATTTCCCACGACAATGACGTCGCCTAACAGTATTTTTGCGCAATTTTACGTGTATATTGTCATGCGTATACGCTACTCGTTCTAATTAAATATTAAAACAACTCAAACGCTACTTTTTATGCAATATAAACGCTAATTGAGGGGATTTACCTAAAATTTTCTTGATAAAGAGGCCTCATTAACAAGAACGAACTTAAATCCGGCAAGTTAAATCTCGTTAAGCGTAACATTAATCTCGTAACGTCTAAGTTAGGTTTAACCCTGATAATTTGATTTGTGTTCAAGCTCAAGCATATCCTTTATAGCGTATAGAAATTGTAATAAAAGAAAGTTGAATCTGATGGATTCCCTTTATTTTCAGCAACCGGTCTGAAGTGGGTGAGGGTGAACGTTCCCCAATACCGTTCTCCTGGAGAATCGGCCCAATTACTTTGCGATTATGACTTGGGCAACGATACACTGTATTCGATCAAATGGTACAAGGACCACGAGGAGTTCTACAGATTTGTCCCGATGGCACGACCGCAGGCGACTAGTTACAAGATGGAAGGCATCTTCGTAGATGTAAGTGCTCAAGGGAGTCACGTCGTTCTGTCAATCTCTAATTTACGTAGAAATATATTCGGCGGAATTTTGCTATTTCTGACTTTTTGCATTTTGTGTTTCCATAAATTGGTTCAATATATCACAGACGCGAGCGCAACTCTTGAATTTTAACTAAAGCGTATAGCCGTCGGGGTTTCTCCCTTTTCCCGTATTATACATACCGGCAGTTGCAAAATATACTCAGTAATATGGATATGTAGGTGAAATCAAAACCCAAAGCGTTCAAGAACTTTTGGTCTACGCGAGCACGTATTTTACGGAAGATCGATTACGAAGATAGGGAAATACTTTATAACCGCGTTTATGCTTTCACTTTGTCCTCGCTAGCGAAACTACCTACTCGAGGAAAATATTCAACAAGCTACCGTTGAAGTAGAATAATCGCCTGAAATAGGATGCATAAAATTTTTAAGCAATTTCATTTTGTATTGAGTAGGTAGCATATCAAAGTTTACTGTGGGTAATAAACTTGTAGATTACGTATTGAGTTGACGTAAATCGATTCCGTTTCCTTCATATCCAAGTCACATTTTAGCGATCAGAGCAAATTATCACTGAGCGAATGGCAAAAATATATACACCGAATTCGAAGTCTGTGCACGGCATCTCAAGCACTCAATTCTGCTACAATTTCATCTCTTTGGTATGTATAAAATAATTTCAAGCAGACATAAGATCCGGCTCGTATTTCACGAATTTACTTACGACATTTCTCGAGTTGTAAGGTAATAAAGGATGCACTTTGACTTAATTATTTGCATCCCCTAATGAAATATTGAGCAGCTCACAGCAGATGTCCATTCTTGTTACAGATGGGGTTATCCGATCGAAAAAAGGTCGTTTTACGAACGGTGAATTTAAAAAGCAGCGGATTGTATCGATGCGAGGTGTCCGCGGAAGCGCCATCTTTTTCTTCGGCCCAAAGCGAAGCGCGAATGGAAGTCGTATGTAAGTGCCAAAATCATTAATTGTTATTTTTCGACACTCCCCTCAAACAATTTCACTCCGACAAATTTGTTAGCACATAATTTAGAACGGCGGCGTATTTACATTCGCATCAATTTCGCTCTATTTACCTACGTCGAGGAAATAGCGTATTGTTGCAGCGCCGGATTTAAACCAAAATCGTTTCAATGAAAAAGCAACCGACCCTCAATACATTGAGATAAACTCGATGACTTTGGGGAGTTCCACAAAAAGAATCATTAGGGATAAAATTGGAAAAGTAAATGACCGAGTTAATGTGGAGTGTATACGTATCGAGTTTCTCTCTATAAAATGATATGTTTATTGCTTTGCGAACGTGGATATAGAGAAAGACAGTAATTTCGCAATACAATTTTCCTCAAATATGTGTTTTACGGTCTGTCTTGCATTTAAAAATGTTTACGGTAGCTTTGGGAGTAAACCCTGCGCCTTCGGCTGTCAACAACTCCGAAATGTAAACAGAAATTTGCTAGAATTATTCTCGAGCGATAAAATTACTAAATTCAAACCGGAAATAGACTATAAAATATGCATTCAAAGCAAAGGTGGTGTAATTAACGTTATTGAAGGATATGAAAGGTACTCCATCTTACAGATTTCTATATAAAATAATATAAACCTCGCTTTACATTCTTTTTATTGGTCCTTCAAGTTGTGATATGCCAGACTTTTACCGCTAAATTTGCTTTAAATATTGACGGTTGTTATTTTTTATACAGGGGTGAAAATTTTTGCCTATACCTTGCGTAGGAGACGCCACTGGAAAGAGTATTCTTCAAGCGGTTTTCAAAAATATCACTCGTTGCTAGCCTGGTGCTTTGTTTTGGGGACGGGGAATCAGTGATCTCTCGGGAAGAAAACGTAGGAAGATCGACACTTCTTGATTTTGATGTTTCGTTTCATCATCCCCTTTATTTTTTTATATGACCTACAAAAAAGAGCATACTGTATTGAATACCATTTTTTATTACGAATACAACGATAGGTATGTACGGTACTAAAAGCTCTGTTGGTTTCAACAGCCTGGTGCACCCGCAACACCATAATCGGGCTATTAGGGCATTGTGCGCGAGTGCACCATCCTGTTGAAAGTATACCGGGTGGGGACTTGAACAACGCACCATAGCAATTTCAATAGTAATTTTTTCATTTCTGATTATTGGCTTCCCTATTTATTTTAGAGATAAAGTATATTTAGGTTTGTTGCATACTAGTATAGGTTTGAATTTTTTGCACTTTGAAACTGGCCATGGCAGTTTGAGATCAAACAAAGCTAACTAATGCCAAATGCAGGCGCTTTTGTTTGATTTCATAATTTATTCCATGGCATTATCGACTTTATAAACGCGACAGTTTTTAATTTTTACGGATTTGTAATTTTTTTCTCTACAAAAAACCTAAATAGACTTTATTTCTAAAATAATTAGGGAAGCCAATAATCGGAAATTAAAAAATTACCATTGAAATTGCTGTGGTGCGTTCGTCAAGTCACCACCCCGTATAGATGGCAGTTGTCATATACAGGGTGAGTTTTTTTTTTTCATTTTAAAGCATTAGGATCTTGGAAACCGTAAGAGATAGAGATTCGGTTAAATGAAGAAAGAGTTGACGTTTTAAGAGCTTATTCAAGATATGCTTTTGTTTTTTGAAAAAAATTCACAGTTTACTAGATATGGGCGAAAAACGGATTTAATGATTTTTCTTTTAAATGCTGTAGAAACGTTAGTATTAGAAATACAGTGTTTCCAAATCTAACCCATCATACATAA